GTTGGCAGTTAGAGCCTTTCAGGTATTTGGGTCATGAGGACTCCACACCTTTAGAACAGTGTCTAAAGAGAGGAGCTACTTTTCGCTCTTCCACATACTGTCACATATGCAGCCAATATTCTACCCTCCACATAATGTGGCATGTAGGTACCATCTTAGAAGCAGACAGCAGCTCGCACCAGCCAGCCGAATCTGCTGTCCCCTTGAACTCCCCAGTCTCCAAGACTGTCAGAAATACATTTTCGTTTTTTGTAGACTAGTCTGTAGAATTCTGTGATAGCAAAATCAACAGAACACCAACAAAACATTTATCTATACACTGAGGGATAAAAAGTGGGAATTTTGCAGACCTCAAAAGGGGGAAAACTCTGTGCCTGTGGAACTGTATCATGAAAAATAATAAATAAAGAAATCCCGCATTCCAAAATTCATATAGACCTGCTCTATATTTCTGTCAGTCTTAGTCTGTTGTGTCTTGGGAAATGTAGCTATTACATCACATTAATGATTTTCTTCAAAAGCTTTCCAAAGCATTAAGTTTAAAAATTAAGTGATTATATCAATACTGCTTGGCATAATTTTCTTCTTCTTTATATTTCTCTTTTATTTTTATTAATACAATTCACTCCATAGCCATAGACTTAATTATCAATAACCATAATATTCAACAAGTAAAAAATAGGAAGACTATAATTCCATTGAAGTATAAAAAAGGGCTAGATTTTCTTACACAGTTGTAGACTCACATCTGTGGTTAAAATATACAAAACTGGAGACTTTCAGTTTCTGTTCTCTCATTTAAGAAACTCAGAAATTACTACTCTGTCAAACAGTAAGTGAAAAACTGAACATATTCAAACAATCTCCTTAGGGTGCTGGACAAGTAAACTCACAGGGTCAATTTCTGCTAGAAAAATTGGAGAATCAGACAGATGAGTACAGAGAAGCAGAACTTTTCAGAGAAGAATGCTTAGAGGCAGGATATGCAAACTCACCCAGTGGGGAAAGCATGAAAACTGTGCTGCAAATCTGAACACCAGAATGGTGTGTAGGTCAGGCAGGGCTGGGCTACAACACAAGCCAGTTCACAGGAGGGATAGGATTAGGGGCCAGGTGAACTGGGCTAGGCTATAAGCCCCACCAACATGAGCTGCAATTGGGTGTGGGCCATGCCTGGCCAGGCAACAGCACCAATTGGTAAATGCTGAAGTGAGGCAGGCCATGCTAAACTGGTCCACAACACCCAACCAGCACAGGTGAGACCAATTGGGGGAGAGGACAAACCTGGAAGGTGGGGCTGCATAGGGCTCCCCTGCTGGACCACTTTTCCCACTGGTGGATGTGAGAGTTGGAATGGGGGCAGACCAGGCTGGGCAGAGTTACAGCACCAGTTGGCCTCATATGAGCTGGATCAGCAAAAAGCCAGGCTGGGTTGGCAGTTCCTACTGGTGCAAGCATAAGCCAGAGTGGGTGTGGGTTGGTGGGGCTTTGCCACAGAATCAGCTGGCAGATGCTGGTATGGGGGGAAAATTCTGTCCAGTTAAGCTGCAGAACCTCCTGGAAAGTGCATGATTTGGGAATGGAAATGGGCCCAGTAGGGAAAAGTGGGCACCTTCCTCTTGAGTTGCCACTCTGATTGGAGAGCATGAGAACCAGGATTTGGACAGGCATGGCTAGATAGAGAGTGGTACCTGCTGGCATGTGTGTGGGTTGGATAGCGGGGCTGGTTGGATTGAACTAGTCTTCAATGCTCATTGACATGTAGGAGAGCTGACTGGGATGTGAGACACACTGGACCAGTCTGCTATGCATACTGGCAAACACAGGAACAAGAGCAAGGGCTAGGCATAGTGGGGTTATTGTGAGTTGCTCAGTCTAGGTTGCAGCTCCCACTGGTTTCCATGAGGGCTGGGTGTTTGGTGGGCAGAATCGGGTTGGGCTCCAACACCCATTGGTTTGTGTAGGAGATGGGGCTGGAGGCAGAACTGACCCAGCACTTGCAACCACCAGCACGTACATAAGCTGCTTGGGTCAACGGTCTTTGCCAGGCTTTTTACTGGCAGGCACACACAAGAATCACCTCAGACAAAATTTTGGGAGGATTCCCCCAACTGAACTGCTGGACTCAGAATCCCAACCATAAAGAGAATTGCAGGTTCTGTGGTCTGACCAGGGAGTGCAAATATCAGAACTGGGCCTTCTCAGTGGCTCAGATGGAGCAGTAGACAGCATACCCAGGTACACGTGGAGGATATGGCAGTATATTGTACATTGAAGTCTGCAGAGGACACCTGGACCATAACAGAGGATGGAGGACAAAACAAATTGATCAACTACCCCAGCCAAGTGTTGGCAGTGAAAATCTGGGCAAACAGAGAGTCTAAGGTGGACTATGTCAATCAGTAGATTCTGGAGAAAGATTTCATTGGGTTTGGAGTGATAAGCACAGCAATTCAGAACAGTTGACCTATCAACACCTCTTGAGTAGGACCCTCAGAGCATGCTCCACATCAGGGATGGTGACACCCTAGGTTGGTGTCAGGTGGCTATCCTCTATCTTAGGGTACAGAGCTGTTTGGGAGGCTGAGTGTGGCTTCTCCCCTTATTTCCCTCCTTCCCCCAGATATAGGAAGGAAAAAACTGAAAATGTGGAAATAATGGTCTCACCCACCTTCCTGTAAGCCTTGACCCTTATCATCCTAATCAACTATGTAAAAATCATCTAAATAAATAAATAAATAAATCTTAAGGAAGAAAGAAAGAAAGAAAGAAAGAAAGAAAGAAAGAAAGAAAGAAAGAAAGAAAGAAAAGAAAGAAAGAAAGAGAGGAAGAGAGAAAGAAAGAAAAGAAAGAAAACCTGTACTGCAAGGGGCCCACGGAGGACAAACCTGGGAGTCAAATCTCCAGGGCATCTGGTTACAGGGGAGCCCCTATACTTTGTGAATTTTGCCTCCAGAAACTCTACCATGTCCTCATAATGAATGTTGGAGAAAAATTCCCTCTTGCTTATGGGAAAGGAAAGAGAAAAGTTTTTTTTTTCCTTGTTCTTTTAGCAAGCCCTGCCCTCAGAGTTATTATATCACAATCTAATATTCTGGAGGTTTATAAATAGCCTAACCTACCTAAGGATAGAAGATATACAATGGCAGCCTCCCACCCCCAGCATCCTGTTCCACCCCGTGCTGGTGAGATGGTGAAATAAAAAGGGACACGAAAGAATGAGACCTAGTCACAGGATAACAGAATGCGTCCCCTCTCGCATATCAACACTATACCACCCAAGTTCTGAGTACTCAGGGTCTTTTTAACCCATTGGACCATCTGCATATTTCAACAAAATATTACAGGTCATGCTAAATGGCAAAAACACAGTCTGAGTAGACAGATCACATATGGCAACTATACTGCATTTAGCTGATCAGGAATGTAAAATAACTATGAATAATATATGAAGGGAGCTAATGGAAAAAGCAGACAGCATGTAATAACAGATAGGAAATAGTATGCAGAGAGGAGAATTCTGAGAAAGAATCAGAGAAATGATTGAGGGTAAAAATCCTGACAGAGATGAAGATTGGCTTTCGTGGGTTCATAAGTACACCAGACACTGCGAAGAATCTCCGAGACTGAAGGTATGACCTTGGGAACTTATAAAACTTTAAAAAAAGATTAAAAAAAAAAACAGCAGAATGTCTCACAACTGAGAACCAGATGAAGAAAAGAGAGCAGAAGCAGCATTTAAAGTAATTGCAACTGAGAATTCTCTTGAATGAGTGATAAGAGAGAGGGCACAGTAAGAATTGCATTTCACTTCTCTGCAGAAATCATGTGCTATAGTTTCAAGATGGTAGGTCCTTTCCAAACTGCTGTTGAGATTTAATCCCCATTATGAGATATTAAGAGGTGAACAATTGAAATGTTGATTAGATAATATGAAGAGAAAAATTCATTTATTCCATAAGTACAATTCTCTTTCTAAAAAATATTTATTTATTTTTATTTGAAAGGCTGATTAGATTTACAGAGAACAGCAGAGAAAGTGAAAAAGATCTTCCATCTACTGGTTCACTCCTCAACTGGCCACAACAGTTACAGCTGAGCCAATCCCAAGTCAGGAGCCTGGAGTCAGCAGGTTTTTCAGGGTCTCCCATGTGGTAACAGGGCCTCAAGCTTTGGTCTATCCTCTACTGCTTTCCCAGGCTACTAGCAAGAAGCTGGATGGGAAATAAAGCAGCTGGGACACAAACTGGCACCCATATTGGATCCCAGAGCTTGCAACATGAGGATTTAACCATAGAGCCATCATACCAAGTCCTCCACAAGGACAAAATGCTAAGATGTTACTTACTTCCCTGCCTCCGTCTCCTTTTAATCTTCCTCCACCCTTTTTTTTTTTAAATTTTTGCAAAAACATAGGTTCATGTCTGTGTGCATTGGCATTCCTGCAGATATGATTTTGTAAAACTTTGTTTTACACCTTTGTAAAACCAGTAATTAGACTACTATAGTTTTAGCAGTAAGTGATGATTTTAAAATTGACTGTATATGAGCGACACAGTTATTTTCATTCAGTTATTCTTTGTAGTTATTGTCTATTTTGCCACTAAACAAAGATCTTTTGTTTTTGACCTGTTAAACTTATTTAGTACAATGTTAAGCCTTTTTACTGTAGTGCAAATTTAAAATGTTATTTCAACAACTAAAAAAAAGAGAGAGAGCAAATGGCACAAAGAGATAGGAAGAAGGAAGGAGGGTAGAAAAGAGAGTGGGGGGAGGAAATTGTTGGAATTGTTTCTGTAAACCACCTGAATCTGTTAAAAATTAATTGAAGTTTAAAATGAGTAGAGTTCTGTCATCATGAATGAACTGACCCCCTCATGTGATCAGTGAGTTACTGAATGACTGGGTTACCTGGAAAGTGGGTCTGTTATAAACAGCCATACATCCTCAACAATGTGATGTCCTGTGCTGCCTTGGGATTCTGCTAGCAAGAGGCCATCCCTTCTTGCAGCCCCTTGAGCTGGGTTCAGAACTATGAGCAAAAACAAAAAACAAAAAACAAAAAAAACCTTTTAACAATCTTATAGCTCACCCAGTTTGTAATATTATGTTATTAGAAACCAAAAAATTAAGATAACAGGACAGGTCAGAAAGGAGTATGGCAAGATATTTAAAGTGTTGAAAGAAAAGAAACACTGATCCAATATTCCATACCCTGCAAAATTACCTTTGAGAAGAGAAGGAATCAAAGACTTTCTCAGACAAATAAGCCTGGAGGAGCTTGTTTCTGCTGAACTAAAAAACATTTAAAGAAGTTTTTTTTTTTAGAGAAAAGGAAGATGATATGTCAGAAAATTAAGTACTAATAAGGAAGAAAGGGTGTCAGAGAATGACTCAATGAAGGCATAATAAAAACATTGCTTTTCCTGTTAATTATTCTCACAACTAACAGCTTGTTCAAAATAAAATATCAAAAATATACCTGATTGGGGCCCGGCACGGTGGCGCAGTGGTTAAGGTCCTTGCCTTGCACACCTGGGATCCCATATGGGCGCCGGTTCTAATCCCAGCAGCCCCGCTTCCCTTCCAGCTCCCTGCCTGTGGCCCTGGAAAGCAGTCGAGGACGGCCCAAAGCTTTGGGACCCTGCACCCGCGTGGGAGACCCGGAAGAGGCTCCTGGCTTCAGATCGGCATAGCATCGGCCGTTGAGGTCACTTGGGGAGTGACTCATCGGACAGAAGATCTTCCTCTCTGTCTCTCCTCTCTGTATATCCACCTTTCCAATAAAAGATAATAAAAATAAATCTTTTAAAAAATTTTTAAAAATATACCTGATTTTATATTATATATATCTCTATTTGTGCTTAAGTGAAATAAATGACACAATAATGCAACAAATGCACAAATTATACATGTTATAGTATTCATAGAATGCACATCAAAATTGATTTTTGTGCAATTGTAGATACAGGAAGTATATGAGCAATCTGCACTCCCCCCTGCAATTTTGCGTGGACCTTAAGCTGAAACTGCTCTAAAAATAATCAAATATATTACATAACCCACACACTGAGATATATTGAACACTTAAACAATGGGTAAAACCAAAAAAAAAAAAAGGTTGACAGGCATATGGAGCAATAAGAAATCTCAAATTTTGCTGATAAATACATAAATGGCACAAATATTTAGAAATCATGCCTGGCAGTTTGTACAGAGTAAACATGCCTCTATCTTCACACAAGAATTATCCCAGAATATAAGCGGTATGTAGACTGAAGGGGTAGAGTGCTGGGCAAATGATGGCACCCAGACTCCCTCGCCTTTAAGATGATGGAATTGTGCAAGTCAGCAGGCCCAGAGCTGATATATTTCTGCTACTCAGCAAGGTCAGAAACTGGTATATTTTTGCAATGTAACCAGTTGGCTGCCTGCCACTGTTGCTTACACTCATTTTATGAGTTGCTGGGGTCATGGCCAAGTGCAGACACTGAGAGGCCTGGAGTCTCTGTGTATGCTCACCTGCCTCTGGGAGAGTGAAGGCAAATCCTCTGTGTGGGCACTTGCCTGCTGTCATGAGAACAGAAAAGGAATGAACCAGGTCAGCTCCACAGCTCTTTAGCTTGTCTGAATTTGAACTTGATCTTCTCATTGCTGAGCATTACAGTCCCAAATCAAGGGTGACTTCTGTAGGCAAAATGATGAGCAAAAGCATGAGGTGAGCATTTGAGACAACAGTGAAGATACCACATGAGTACTTCTCATCACACTTAAGAGTTCCTGGGATCTAGCCCAGGCTCTGTCCCCAGTTCCACCTTCTGGTTAGTGTGTGCACTCTAGAGAGCATCAGGGGATGGGTCTAGTGAGTAGGTCCCTGCCACCCACAGGAGAGACTCAGATTGAGTTTTCAGCTCCTAAGCATGTGCTGTCCTAGGCCTGGCTATTGCATGTATCTGCCTTCTAAACAAATAAAATAAATATAAAAATAGGAGTAGCATTGCAGTGCAGCAGTAGAGTTGCTACTTGCAAAGCTAGCATCGTATATGGGTGCTGGTTTATGTGCCAACTGTTCCACTTTCAATCCAACTTCCTGCCAGTGACCTACAAAAAGCAGTGAACGATGGCCCAACTGCTGGCACTCCTGTCCCCCATGTGGGAGACCCAGACAAATGCCTGGCTTCAGTCTAGTCCATCTCTGGCCATTATGACTATCCAGGGAATAAACCGGCAGAGGCAGGATCTCTCGCCCTTCTTTTGTAAATCTGTCTTTCAGTTACATAAGTAAATCTTAAAAAAAAAAAAAATGCCAGGAAAACGAAGCAAATGTTGAGAATAAATAAATTTTTGTTATATGGGTTGAGCATCGCGCATCCAAATATTCAAATTCCAAAATGCTCCAAAATCTGAGAGTTTCTGAATACCAACATGATGCTCCATACCATGAAGCTTTGGTTAACAAATAAAGTAATTTAAAGTGTGATATAAAATTACGTTTAGGCTATATCTCTAAGGTATATATGAAAGAGACACATATTTCATGTTTACATTTCTGTCCCATCCCCAAAATATAATTGTGTATTAAAAATGCAAAAATATGCAAAATTTAAAACGCATTTGGTCCCAAGCATTAGAAATGAGAAATATCCAATCTGTATTAGCAAAGATATTAAATATTCCTTGTCATTGGTGAGTTGTAAGTTAAAACAGCAAACACCACCACTACATACCTATTAGAATGGCTAAATCCCAAGCATTAATAACACCAAATACTGGCAAGGATTTGGAGCAAAGGAAGTCTCAACCATTGCCGGTGGGAATATAAAACTGTATTCAATTAAACATATTCTTACGATCTAGAATTTGGATTTAGGCCAAAAGGGGGCCCTAAAACACAGCAGAGAACATGGAAGCTTCTAAACACATACTCTTTTAAGTCTGTTTTTCAGAAAATGCTCCAGGAAAGAACATCTTGTGACATTGCATTTAGAGAAGACCAGACCATCACAAACAAGGAACGGTTAAAGCTGCAAGAATTCAGTTTTGGGAACATATAACAAATGAAGACATATAGTGCTTGAGCAAGAGGAGTGGATTGCCCTTCCCCTTTTTTACATCTTAGATAGACCCACACATAATCCTTGACACGAAAACCCAAGCAACCTGCTTCTCAGAGAGGCCATTTCTTTTTAGGAACTCTAACTGCGACTACTTAACATCTTAGAAAGATCAGTGGTTGTCAGGAGTCAGAAGGCAGAGAAAGTTAGGCAGAATACATAGGGGTTTCAGGGCAGTGAAACTATCAGTAAACACACATTATTATGTATTTGTCAAAACCCACAGTCAGGGGCAACAAGTCCGAATGTAAACATGGACTTGGAGTGCAATGAGTGCCTGTATGGGTTCCTCAATGGAAAATGTACCCCTGTGCTGAGAGATGCGGCAGTGGGGGAACAGGAAGCTTGTGCATGTAAAAGGATGGGGAACACATGGGAACTTGCTTTTCCTTTTGCTCAATTGTGCAACAAAACTAAAACTATTATTAAAATAAAATTTTTCTACAAGCCTGGCAAAATTATATTTTAAGACCTATCACACTTGTTCTTATAGAAAATGATCCACATGAATATTTAGCGGTAACTTGAAAATACTCTGCAAATGAATTTTTTCTTTTGTGCCTTTCACATGAAAAATAACAAAATAATAACTTAATTAAACTCAAACTGAATTTCTTCTTTGTATGATGATGATAAAAGAACTGCATAATGAAGATGGAAAGAATGTCCAAACAGAGTAACATTCAAGGTCTACTGACCTGGCATATTGTAAGCAAAGCTCTTTATAGCAGCATTCAAAATCCAGTGAAAACATCTGCTTCAGTAATTTATTGGCATATACAAAACTAATGCAAATGTAATGGGTTCTTATATGGTCCAGAAACTATACCTCACAGACCGAATTAAGCAAGACCATGTTTCAACACCCCTGAGATAAAAGAATTACGTTTATATTCTTAATTGGTTATAAAAAAGAATATTTTATGAAACATTAAAATTACATGTAATTCAAATTTTATGTCCATTTTTAACAACATAATTTCCTCAGTTTAAAGAGAAAGCAGAAGAGATACACTTGTGACATACCGGGTGACGCCACCGCTTGCAACCCATGTCTGAGTGCTGATCTCAGGCCCCACAGCTCCACTTCCAATGAAGCTCCCTGCAAATGTGCCTGGGAAAGCAGTGGAAAATGACCCATGTGCTTGGATGCCTGCCATCTATGTGGAGACTGGGATGGGGTTCTGGGACCAGGAGACTCTGGCCTGGCCTATTTCAAACATTTGGAGACCAAACCACAAGATGGAAGATCTGAACTCCCAAGTCTCTGACACTCTGCCTGTAAAAAATTAATGAAAATTAATCAATAAAAAATTAAGTATGGTAATTTTTCCTGAAAAAGTCGGGGTCAAAGGGCTACACTATAGCACAGCACATTGTGCCATGCCCTGAATGAGCCCTGGTTCAAGTCTCAGCTTTTCCACTTCCCATTCAGCTCCCTGCTAATTAACATGGGAAAGCAATCAATGATTGTCTAAGTATTTGGCTGCCTGCCATCCATGTGGGGGTCCTGGCTTTGGCCTGGCCATATCTTGGTCACTGCAGCCAGTGGAAGAGTGAACCTGCAAATGGAAGATGTTTTTCTCTCATAATCCCCACCTCCCTGCCTCATCACTTTGCCTGGCAAATGAATAAATCTTTCAAACAAAGAAAATCTTTTTTTTAAAAAAACTAGGTATTAAACCCAGTAGGTATTGACAACATACAGTTTTTTTTTTTTTAAAAAAAAGAGTCCAGCAAAATAGACACAATGTAAGAGAAGAGATTATTCATTCACAAGGGTAAAAAGCATGAGAAAACTTTTCTAGGGTATAGATAAAGCTAGTGAAAACACACAAGTACAAAGTGAACATTATGTGGCACAATTTTGAGAGTTGGTATAGAAAGGAAAATTAAAATTGATAGAATTATATATAAAAGCATTTATGATTTTACTAAGATATATTTTAACACTGTATTAAAAGCAGATCTGAAGAAAACAATTTAATTTTCAAGAAAAATTTTTTAAAGAATTTTAAAATTTTTATTGGAAAGGCATATTTATAGAGAAGAGAAAGAGGATTTTCCATCAGCTGGTTCACTTTCCAGATGGTGGCAATAGCAGGAGCTGAGCTGATGCAAAGCCAGAACCAGGAGCCAGATCTCTCAGGTGGGTGCAGGGTCCCAGGGCTTTGAGACATTCTCTGATACTTTACAAGGCTTCAAGCAGGGAGCTGGATTGAAAGTGGAGTGGCAGTGAAGAGTTAGTAAGCTGAGTCATCACACAGACCCCGTCAGGAGAACTTTTAAAAACAGAATATAATGCTTTACCTTTTTCTTAAAGACTTGTTTGTTTATTGGAAAATCAGATCTACAGAGAGATGGAAAGACAGAAAGATCTCCCGTCCACTAGTGGCTACAACACGGCCAGCGGAAGTCAGGAGCCAGGAGCCCCTCCTACAGGTACAGGATCCAATGGCTGTGGGTCTTCCTCAACTGCCTTCCCAGGCCACAAGCAGGGAGCTGGATGGGAAGTGGAGCAGCCAGGATACAAACCTGCACTCAAATGGGATGTTGGTGCATGCAAGGCAAGGACTTTAGCCACTAGGCTATCGTGCCAGGCCCCATGCTTTGCTTTTCACAGCATCAATCTCTATTGTTGGTGAAATCTTGCAGAGAACTACAGCTCCCAACATCCCTTGGAGTTTTGGTGTTCCTAACTCCTTTGGAAGAACTACAAGTCAGACATTTTAGGCAGTCAGAAGCAATATCAGGCATTTTAATCAGACAGGCTATATTCATTTCGAAGTGGCTTTGGCCAATCAGTATTAATGGTGAACTAACCCCTTGAACATCAACACTACTAATGATTACTTAATGCTTGAGGTGCTATAAAATTATACTACCTACTGGACATTCTATTCTTAAATAATTATTTGATCATCTCTATATTTTTTTGCATACATGTATTTAATTACCCATGAATTTTTGCCATTCCCACATATATAATACATACACTAAAGTATATAGTTCTTCTGTTAGAAATTACTGGTTTAAATGCACAAAGTTAATTTTCCTTGATTGTTAATGCTCTTGCCTTCTTTGACAATGTCAATTGTTAACAAAAATAAGGTTGTATTTATAGTGTTGATATAATCATTACATTAAGAACTGAGAAAGTCAGTTAAAAGTGACAGTATGGATTTAACAGTGACTGACTCACTAAAAATGATAGCTAAGAATCAACAAACCCATTATTGGACCCAGTGTGGTAGCCTAGTGGCTAAAGTCCTCTCCTTTCATGCTCCAGGATCCAATATAGGCATTAGTTTGTATCCAGGTCTCCCCACTTCCCATCCAGCTCCCTGCTTGTGGCCTGGAAAGCAGTAGAGGACGGCCCAAAGCCTTGGGACCCTGCACCCGTGTGGGAGATCCGGAAGAAGCTCCTGGCTCCTGGCTTCAGATTGGC